AAATGCAAGTTGTAAATATGTTTTATATTAGATTAATATATTCTTCCATTAATGGACTGCTATGCAATACTAAAAGGGGGAAATACCCATTTCATTATAGTCCTCTAGACAAAGATTCAACTTCTGATTTTATTGAATCCTAATTTTATTGAGTTCAGTTAAAATTGTAAGCATTTAATTTGTATAAAGAATCTTGGCAAGTTATTTGATTTTAAATATTGTTACATTATTAAAAGAAAGTCAAATATATTTGGAAATAAAACATAAATGGCAGATTTACTGTACTTATCTCTTTTTTTGGAGAATATTGGGGGGGCTACATTAAAAAGGGGATTATATATTTAAATCACTAGAAAGGGGCCTCTTTCTTTCATCATCTGAAAATATATCTGAAAAACCTCTTCAATTATGTTTCTAAGCATATATAAACTTAAGAGTAAAGAATAATAAATGCATACAATCCAGTTTTAATTTTCATAGTTACTCTAAATGTGTAGGTGCTGTATTTTCATTTACCTTTAGCTTTTCATAGCTGCCTTGAAGAGATGCCAAATTAGTTTTTAACTCTACAGAGATGAATATCTAAACACAAAGCAAGAGGAGTCAATTCTTAAAATAATAAAAAAATCATTGATTCTGCTGTTATATCAGTGTACATAACTGTAATTGATTATATTGTATCTGGCAGCTAAGGCAGTATTTTCTTACTTTTTTTAAAAAAAGAAGTTTTTGTATTTTCACATTTCCAGGAGTGAAAAGAGCCTGGTTCCAGGCCGCCACAGAATTAGCTATAGAGTTCCACGAGGATAGGCCAGGAAGGAGAGAGGTAGGTGAGGACAAAGACTGCAACAGATGCATCATATCAGAGTTGCCCCGAAAACCCCGCAACCCACAGCAGTTTCCATGAGGCAACCTCCATCCACTATTGTATCACAAATGGTTTGATAGGCTTAGTTATCATCGGGTCAGAACCCTCCCCCCAGTCGCTGCCACTGCACTGACTGTAATTTTTAGCTCCCCAAATGCTGTCTCCATGGTAAGGGCTGCATGTCAGCTCCAGCCAGCCCAGAGGCCTGGAGCTGCCATTCAGGGGAGAAAACCGGGCCAGCTTCCAAGACTCACCAGGTTTCCCTCCTCCACAAGCAGTCCAGCTGAGTAATCTACAAAGCTATTGATAACTGACTGAAAACAATCCATGATTAATTGCAGGGTGGTTTTTGTTCTGGGTCACGAGGGGATGGGTGTATGCAGGCGTGGGGTGCAATTTATCCTAATTACCAAGTAACTATAAAAGGTGGTGGGAAGCACAGGGTGGCATCTCTGAAAATTTATTCATTGCCTTAGTGCTTTGTTGGTCAGTTCATGCAGGATGAAGAATACAAACTGCATTTACAAACCGTTTCTGTGTTTGGCTGTTTTCATTAACCCTTCAGAACCTGATAGAAGTCCCCAAAGACTCACAAGGGCCCTTATGCTTTGTGACTCCAGAATCCTCCCCCAATCAATTTCAACAGAATTGCTAAAAACCACAATATGGTTTCTGCTGTTTTAAGACAGAAAATATATTTTTAAAGAATAAATATGCAAATAAACACAGACAAGACTCCCTAATTTTCTAACTGTCAGGAAATTTCTCCTCAGTTCTAAATTGCTTCTCTCCTTGTAATACTGGAAATATTAGGAATGTTTAGCTCAGAGAACTGAGAATATGGATAATCCATTGGACATATACTGTATGTAACTTGGGTCCAGTCACCTAAAAAGCTATCATGTAGAAAAATGGACAGATTTTTCACAATTGCTCCAGAATACAGGACAAGAAAAATGAATTGTTTAAATTACATGGATAATAGTTTAGTTGGATATTGGGGGTGGGGATCTTAAACATGGAACAAATTGTCTGGATTCTACTTGGCTGAAGGTCTTTAAAGATTGGCTAGCTAACTCTGTATTCTTGTATACTTGTATTGGGCAAAGTATATTAAGTTTATTAAGAATTAAATATATTCAAACCCCTACATTTATGATAATAAAATAATAAACGGAACTCCTGAAGGCCCTAATAGAACATCTTAAGTGTTCTGAATAAATAAGAACATTATCACAACCAGAGATGGGCTGCCTTGGTGAGGCCATAGCTGGCTCACTGTGAGGGGGATGGGTGGAGAGCGCATGTGGCCGGTGGGGCTGAAGAGACGCTCTGCCTCCACCTCCTCTGGAGCTCCACTGGGCTGGGCAGGGAGAGGCCGGCTTAAGGGCAGGGGGAGGCGGCTGAGGGATGGTGCAGGCGCCACCCTGCTGCAGACAGCAAAGGGCTGGCAGGAGAGGGGAGAGAGAGTAGGGGGAGGCCCAAGGGCTTCGGCTCCCCTTGACGGAAATGGCCAAAACTTGTCAGAGGAGGGGCGGAAAGGGGAAAGGGTGCGGCCGCAGCCCAGCCACACATATAAAGGGACCGTTGGGATGAAGCTGGAGAGAGGCCGAACTGTTCCGAATATACTATACTCATGAAATGAACGCTATGGTAAATGACACAGCTCAGTTCTAATGCAATGTCACACAAAATAATTAAATCAAAATGAAAATAATCAAAATCTATGAAAATTCAATATAACAATACAATCGGAAACATTGAAATGGAATTGTGAAATATTTAGTATAGCATGTGTTGCTTTTACGTCCAACAGATGGCACTGGTTTTCAAAAAAGCATGTTTTTACCTGTCACATGTGTGACATCTATATAATATAGGTATATAAAAACACGTGCATATTCGAATGCAATGTTGTGTCAAAATTTCAAAGCAATCGGTGAAGAACTTTCGGAGATTTAAGATTTTGAACAAACGAACATTTACATTTATATATGTGTGTGTGTGTGTGTCTGTCTGTCTGTCTGTCTGTATGTATGTATGTATGTATATACGTATGTATATATTGTGTCATACATACATACATACATACATATAAATTCACTGAGTACTTTCTGAAAAAGAGTGGTA